TCCAACAAAGGTTGAGCTCATGGTCATATTTCTAACCGTGAATGTAGGATGCTATTTATCATGGAATGAGCAACTTTGTGGTGCCACTGAATGTTTCCTCATTTCTCCTCAATAGTTGCAAATCTATTCTGTGGCAAACATTTCAAGCTTTTTTGCGAAATTGACAATGGCTTTTGCTTTAAACATTATTTCGAGGGCATTTTAGGTGAGTATGTCTTTTCTGTTTAATTAAAATTGGCTGTGTGGGTCCACCATTTGGTCCCTGGAGTATCTAAGGATGACCTTTCATGCATTCAAGTGAGTCATTAAATGCTGGACAACCAAAGAACTGGAGATGAATTGAGGTGAGTGTATATGTGAACCAGGCCTGTGATTCTCCCCAGAAGACCCTGTAGAGTCTGTTGACATATAATAGGCTTGCTTTCTTCAAGGGATTTGGGTACATCTGGAAGATTTCTCTTTCTGGGGCCCAATAAATTCTGCCAGGAAACATGCTGTGAAGAGCCTGAGCTGCACATCAATTCTGAGTCAAGCCTCTTCTTAGCAAAGAGGGCCTACTTAAAGGGCCTATTTGAGGGACCAGAGAAACTTGATCAGAAATAGCTAAGGCTTCTCCGTTCCCATAAGAGAGGAGTGGGCCTTTAAAATCTGAGCTGCTTCTTGCAGTTTGTTCCCCTTCCAACAGGAGGGGATCCAGCTGCCTTTCCAGCACTGTGGTTCCAAGATGGAATCTTCTAAAAATTGATGATTCTTTGTGAGTAAACCTGAATAACAAGTGATGTGCTTTGGTTAAGATTAGTTTAGTTTAGAGCCACAGTGCTTGGGTTTGTTTTGTATTCTGCTTTGACTTTCTTCGTGTTTCCCTGTTACCTTAATTCCTGGTAGGTTTCTTAACTTGACTGCTTAAGTGTACATGTCTTCCAATGTCGGGGTTTTAGAATCCACACATGACTAGGACCTACTGTGATTTTAGGATAAGAGATGTAGGTGACCAGCACACTCTTCTGAGTCCTGGGAGAGACCCAGAAAGGGTATGGGATGCCACTGCCCTTTGAGACAAACCGCAAAGATGCAGGGCAATCAGAGGAGTGTTGTGGTACTGGCTTCAAACCTTTGAAAAAGTGATTGCTTTAGTGTACTCCAAGTTTTCTCCCAAATGGGGCTGCAGGAGTAGGTGAGAGTGTGGTGACAGCAGTTACTGGAGAGTAAGGATCTACTGGCTGTGCTGCAGGGCTGTTGTGTTGCTGTTGGCCAACACAAAACGTATTAGAGCTTTTCTTGGGAACCCCTCCACTGCCACACATACCACGACAACACACCTTGTTATTTGCCTGCATACAACATAGTGCTGTAACACACCTCTGTATTTTCTTTGTGCATGTGTGCAGGAGTTTTGTTGTTTAGAGTCACATTCCATAACATTTAGAGAGTGCCAAGAGAATGTCACAACTGGGAGTGTGATAGCACTAATCTATGCAAATACTAATGCATTTAATTCAAGCCTCACATATGTTCTTCATTGAAATGAAAGAGGGTTTATACATTACATTGTTTCGGTGATATAATACCTGCTCACATGAAGACAGGAAGCGGAAGCTACCTCCTGCAGACTCAAACCCTTGGTCCATCTTTATATTGTCTAAACCAATTGGCATGAGGTGTCTACTGTCTATTGGTAATTTTCCCCATCCGTACCTGGAGATGTTAGTCATTGAATCTTGGACCTTATGCATCCAATGCAAATGATCTACTAGTGAGTTAGGGCCCTTCCTCTGTAACTTGATAGAGTGTGTAATATCTCAGCTATGGACTTTAGACAGGGCAGCCAATTACTGTTAACATGCTTTCTGTGAATATTCTCTGGCTGTGGGAGCCATGAAGTCATGGCAAAGGCTTGTAGCGCCACCTGGTGCCTCGCTGACCTCGGTGACCTGCATGTCCGTGCCTTGCAGTGTATTAAGTGCATAACCTTATATGGAGTTATGTTCCCCCTCTGGGCAGTAATTACCTTATATGGCGATGGGTGGGTAAAAGCCATGACCGGATGAGGTAACGTGAGACATTGGCAAACAGCCATGCGACAGGAGAGAACAAAGGAGAATAAAATTGGAGGAGAGCGGTCGAAGGAGCTGCTCATACCTTCCAGAAAATATTGCTGGCTCTCTGTGTCTTTTTTCAAATGCTATGCAGCGCCATTTGTGACGGCTGGCTTCCGTCAAGTGGTGCCCCATGTGAGGCTAACTAAAAGGAAACCGTGTGAGGCTAACTAAAAGGAAACTGAGTGAGGCTAACTAAAAGAAAACTGAGTGAGGCTGACTTAAAGGAAACTGTGTGAGGTTTTCGATCCACGCAACGGATATCATTGACTCTCCACGCCTGGCAAGGGTTACAAGCGCTACGCATCTATAGGATCCCGGTGAGTCGATCCCTTTTATCTTGAATTTGGAAAAATGGGCAGCTCTTTGTCTATTCCCCAACAGAAATTTTTAAAAGACTTAAAATTTCTCCTCTCCTCCAACAAATTGGAAGTTCCTGAGGGTGATTTGATACAGCTTATTCTGGCCATCGATGAGCATTGCCCCTGGTTTCCTGAAGATGGGACTTGGGAATTAAAACATTGGGATAAGATTGGAGCACATTTTCATGGACACCCCAGCATTGGTGTTCGGATTCTAAATGCATGGTGCAAGGTTCGTTACGCCATGGGCTCTTTATCACCAAAAAATATCTCCATGGCTGTATTGCCAACATCACCTCCGGCTTCTTTAGTCCAGCCTGCTGTGATGCCGCCTGTTCCAGCACTCGCTTTGCCAGCACCCCCAGACCCTAAACCTCCGGACTACAGTTCCTCACCAGAGGACCCAATCCTGCAAAAATACCGTGGTCTGGCTGGCAATGATCCTACTCTCTCATCGACAAAACCAGCTACCCCTTTTCAACGTGCAGTCCTTGCCTGTTCCTTAATTCAGGATACTGTGGCATTTCCCGTTATTGTGCCCCCTGCTGGCGCTCCAGCAGGAACTCAAGCCCAACACCAACCTTTTGACTTTAAGATCTTGAAAGAGTTGCAGCAGTCAGTAAAGACCAATGGACTCCAAGCCCCATATACGCAGGCGCTTTTGGAAGCCACATTAGCCCAGCTCTTGGTTCCAGATGACATAAAGCTTTTGGCCCATACAGTGTTACCTCCATCAGCGGGCGTATTGTTTGCCCACGAATGGGAAACTGCCTGCCATGCTTATGCTCCGGCTTTATTACAACAGGTCAGGGGTAATAACCCTAACATTACCCTCACAGACGTCCTAGACGCCATGATGGGGCGTGGTCTCTTTGTTCAGGCTTCAGTGCAAGCCACACTGCTGCAAATCTTATTGAGGGACACCGCTCTTGCTGCTAAACAAGCAATGAGAAAAATCCCAGAACCCACCAGTATTCAGTCTAGGTGGGGTTCAATCAGGCAAGAGGCAAGAGAATCATATTCTTCCTTTATGGACAGGCTGCTTACAGCAGTGAGTTGCCAAATTGAAAATCCTGAAGCCAAACAAATAATTATCAAACAATTGGCCTTTGAAAATGCCAATGAGGATTGTAAACTTGCATTGCGACCGATAATACACAATCCTACCACAGACACAGCAGCCATGCTTCGCATTTGTCAGTCTGTAGGTACAGCCACCCACAAGGCTCATCTGTTAGCAGCGGCGCTAAATAAAAACCAGCCTGTAGCCACCGATACAACTTGTTTCCAGTGTGGCAAACCAGGATCACCGATACCCCAGTGTGGGTAGAACAGTGGCCTCTACCAAAAGAAAAATCCGCAGCAGCGGCACCAGCTTGTTTCTGAACAGCTTATTTCTGAACAATTGACTTTCGGCCACATTGAACCATCTTCATCCTTCTGGCTCCAGCAGACAGGGAACGGTTTGCTTTTACATTGCCAGTATATAACAATTCGCAGCCCACCCAGCGATATCAGTGGGTTGTCCTGCCTCAGGGCATGCGGAACTCCCCTACACTTTGTCAACATTTTGTGGGTGAAGCATTGAAACCTTTCCGCATGCGCCACCTAGAGGTGCTGCACACGAGCTGCATCTGTCAGTGTTTGCCTTCCTCACCATCTGCCTAGCCATCCTTTGCTGCACCGTTATACAAGGAAGAGAAGCAGACGACCCAGTCCAGTTGAAACCACCATATTTCACCTTATCGGCTGGCTGGCAGTATCCACGGCTCAGCCACTTTCGAACTAGAAGAACAGCGTTGTTGAATAAGACTTTTAGGGCAGAAAATTATCATAAGATATGGAGGGATAATATTTTTGTACAAGATATGATTATGTTTACCAGTTTATTGCATGCTTCTAAATGTTGGTTGTGTATGCACATGCCGCCTTTTGCCCGTCATTCAGGCTTAATGCTTCATGGTGTGCCTGTTAATGGATCTTTTCAATTTACAAATGTTATATCCCCTAAGCAAACTTTTTGGCCTCCAGTACAATTGACCCTCCATGAGCCTGCCCCCATTTGTTTTAAAATTAAAGAGGGAAAAGAGTCATGGGGCATATATCCAAACTGTCAATATACATTGAATTTCACTTTTAATAGCTCTTGTTCTCTTACAGGAACATACAGTGACCAATCTCAGTGCTATAGGAGTGACACCAGTGCATGGCTAATAAACTAGAAAGGAAGCCTACCATGCAGCTTGGAATCAGAATTCTTATATTCTCGGCTTCCAGATGGAAGTTGGCTTCGACATTTATTGATTTTAGTGATCCTTATAGTAGTTATTTGCGTTATTTTGTGTTGCTGTATACAATGTATTCCTTCTTTAATCTCTGTATGTACTGCATGGTTCTCCAGTCAGCAGCCTGCTTCCGGCCTCACAAGGGTTGCCTATCGTGCTCGGTATAACCGTATTGGTACTGACATATATGACTCTGATTAATAAAATAAAGAAAGAGGGCATGTGGGAGCCATGAAGTCATGGCAAAGGCTTGTAGGCCACCTGGTGCCTCGCTGACCTCGGTGACCTGCATGTCCGTGCCTTGCAGTGTATTAAGTGCATAACCTTATATGGAGTTATGTTCCCCCTCTGGGCAGTAATTACCTTATATGGCGATGGGTGGGTAAAAGCCATGACCGGATGAGGTAACGTGAGACATTGGCAAACGGCCATGCGACAGGAGAGAACAAAGGAGAATAAAATCGGAGGAGAGTGGTCGAAGGAGCTGCTCATACCTTCCAGAAAATATTGCTGGCTCTCTGTGTCTTTTTTCAAATGCTATGCAGCGCCATTTGTGACAGCTGGCTTCCGTCATCTGGCCTTTGCCTCACACCTCCCTCCTCAACTGATATTCCCAACTGCTATGTATGATAATTCCTCACTGACAGTTAATTTTTTTAAAAAAAAGATATTTATTAAAGTTTTACAAAAAGAAAAAAAAAGTTACAGAGTAAAAAAAGAGGAAAAATGAAAAATACAAAGAGTACAAAAATACATAGAAAAAAATATACAAACTACAGAAAGAATATATTAAAAATAGTTAAAAACAAATCAATCTTTTCATATCTTAGATTTCATTTACTTATTTCTCCGACCTCCTCACACCTCCCTTTTTTGTATTCCCGTTCACATGGTTAATCCAGCAAATCCTTACCCTCTTTGTTTTTATCTTAATTCCATATCTCAACATATTATAACTTTGTATTTTCATCCGTTATCAATCCATTTTTACATATTCTTATTAACCTTGTTGCTAAGGCCGCTTGATTTCAATCTGACATCATTTTAACATTTATTAATTTTACAATGTTTCTGCAAATAGTCTTTAAATTTCTTCCAATCTTCTTCCACCGACTTTTCTCCCTGGTCTCGGATTCTGCCAGTCATTTCCGCCAGTTCCATATAGTCCATCACTTTCATCTGCCATTCTTCCAGAGTGGGTAAATCTTGTGTCTTCCAATACTTTGCGATGAGTATTCTTGCTGCTGTTGTAGCGTACATAAAGAAAGTTCTATCCTTCTTTGGCACCAATTGGCCGATCATGCCCAGGAGAAAGGCCTCTGGTTTCTTCAGAAAGGTATATTTAAATACCTTTTTCATTTCATTATAGATCATCTCCCAGAAAGCCTTAATCCTTGGGCACGTCCACCAAAGGTGAAAGAATGTACCTTCATTCTCTTTACATTTCCAACATTTATTATCAGACAAATGATAAATTTTTGCAAGCTTGACTGGTGTCATGTACCACCTGTATATCATTTTCATAATATTCTCTCTTAAGGCATTACATGCCGTGAATTTCATACCTGTGGTCCACAACTGTTCCCAGTCAGCAAACATTATGTCATGTCCAACATCTTGTGCCCATTTAATCATAGCAGATTTAACCGTTTCATCCTGCGTATTCCATTTCAACAGCAAGTTATACATTCTTGATAGTATCTTAGTTTTGGGATCTAACAGTTCTGTTTCCAATTTTGATTTTTCCACCTGGAAGCCAATTTTTTTATCCATATTGTACGCCTCCCTTATTTGATAATAATGAAGCCAGTCTCGCACTTTATCTTTTAATTTCTCAAAACTCTGCAATTTCAATTTGTCATCTTCTTGTTCCAAAATCTCCCAATATTTCGGCCATTTGGCCTCCATATTGAGTTTTTCTGAGCCTTCGCTTCCATCGGTGATAACCACCTTGGGGTTTTATTTTCAAATAAATCTTTGTATCTTATCCAGACATTAAACAATGCTTTCCTGACAATATGGTTTTTAAATGCTTTGTGTGCTTTAACCTTGTCATACCACAAATATGCATGCCACCCAAAAACATTGTTAAAACCTTCTAAATCCAAAATGTCTGTGTTCTCAAGAAGCAGCCATTCTTTCAGCCAGCAAAATGCTGCTGATTCATAATAGAGTTTAAGATCTGGCAGGGCAAATCCACCTCTTTCCTTTACATCAGTTAATATTTTAAATTTTATTCTGGGCTTCTTGCCCTGCCAGATAAATCTAGAAATATCTTTCTGCCACTTCTTGAAACAATCCATTTTGTCCAAAATTTGCAACGATTGGAACAAAAATAACATTCTTGGCAATACATTCATCTTTATAACAGCAATTCGACCAAGCAAGGAAAGCTTCAGGTTTGACCATATTTCTAGATCCTTTTTCACTTCTGACCAACATTTCTCATAGTCGTCTTTAAATAAATTTAAGTTCTTTGCGGTCATGTTTACCCCCAGGTATTTAACTTTCTTGACCAATGTTAACCCTGTCTCCTTCTGAAACCTCTCTTTCTCAATCGGTGTTAAATTTTTCTCAAGAACCTTAGTTTTTAACTTATTCAGCTTAAATCCTGCCACTTGACCAAATTCTTGAATCAGATCCAATACTCTTTTAGTACTAGATTCTGGCTCCTGTAGTGTCAATACTAGGTCATCTGCAAAAGCTTTCAATTTGTACTGTTTGGCTGCGACCTGTATACCTTTAATCAGATGGTCCCTTCTAATCATATTTAGCAAAACCTCCAGAACCGAAATAAAGAGCAATGGGGAAATTGGGCAGCCTTGTCGTGTCCCTTTCTCTATCTTAAATTCCTCTGTCACCACATTATTAACTATTAGTTTAGCCTTTTGTTCTGAGTAAATTGCACCTATACCATTTTCAAATCCTTGACCAACCCCCATCCCCTGAAGATTTTTCTTCATGAAACTCCAAGAAATATTATCAAAGGCTTTCTCCGCATCTACAAAGATTAAGACTGCTTTAGTGTTAATGTTCACTTGCAACATCTCCAAAATGTTAATTATATTGCTCGTGTTGTCAGACAAGTGTCTACCCGGGAGAAAGCCAGCTTGATCTTTATGTATCTCCTCCACTAATACTTTTTTTTAGCCTTTTGGCCAAAATATCTGCAAAAATTTTGTAATCCACATTAAGCAGGGATATGGGGCAGTAGTTCTTAAGTTGTGTCTTTTCAGACTCAGTTTTCGGTATAAGTGTAATATAGGCTTCCTTCCACGACTCTGGCACTTTTTTCCCCTCCAAAATTTCATTGTAGACCTCCTTTAGTGGTTGGATTATCCAATCTTTCAAAGATCTATAATATTTTGAGGTTAGGCCATCCGGCCCTGGAGATTTGCCCAGCTGCATATTCTGGATGGCACCTTCCACCTCCAGTTCTGTTATTTTATAGTTCAACATTAACTTATTTTCTTGAGAGATTTTTTGTAGTCCATTTGTTTTTAAAAATTGATTTATATCAGTTTCTTTCTGTGGCCCTTGTGTAAATAACTGTTTAAAATACCTCTGGAAACATTTTCTAATTTCCACTGGATTCTGTATATTCTTTCCTTCCACTTCCAAATTGGTAATAGTGTTAAGTTTTTGTCTTTTTTTCATTTGCCAAGCTAGCAGTTTCCCACATTTGTTAGCCGATTCAAATGTCCTTTGTCTCATCTGTTTGATTTTCCATTCTATTTTCTGGTTCATCATTTTCATATATTGGACTTGATATAGCTTTATTTCTCTCAGAATCTCTTGTGACTTTGGTTTTGCTCTCAATTTCCTCTCTCCCTCTTTTATTTTCTCCAAAATTTTATCTTTTTTCTCATTTTGAGTTCTCTTCTTTATTGCATTCTGTTGAATTAGAAACCCCCTCATAACCGCTTTGCTTGCGTCCCAGATTACTCTTTTTTCCATAGTAGTGTTCATATTTATCTCAAAGTAGTCTCTCAAGGTTTTTTGGGCCTTCTTAATAACCTCTGCATCTCTAAACAAGGTGTCATTCATCCTCCATCTAAAGGAACCAGTTGGTGTTAGTTTCATCTCCATTCTCACAGCATTATGGTCGGAGCAAGTTTTAGGGTATATTTCCGCTTTTCGAATCTTGGGAACCAGTCCTCTAGTTATCCAGATTTGGTCAATTCTTGTCCATGTCATTTTGGCTTCAGAGAAGAAAGTTCCCTCTCTACCCAAGGGATTTTTTGTTCTCCAAATGTCAATCAAATCCATATTGTCAGTCATCTCAAAAAAAGTTTTTGGTAGTCTGCCATCTTTGGTGACTACCTGTCTCTGTGACTTATCCATGTTTGTAGATACCACTCCATTCATATCTCCCATCATAATAATGTTATAATCCATATAGTCCAACAATGTCTCGTGCAACTTCTTAAAAAATTCAGATTTCCCCTCATTTGGTGCATATACTCCTACTATCAGAAATTTCTCTCCTTGTATTTGAATTTCAATTGCCACAAATCTTCCTTGGTCATCTTTAAAGATAAATTTCGGTGATAGGCTCTCTTTTGCGTAAATTACTACTCCTCTCTTTTTGATCTTGTCTGATGAAACGAACTCTTGACCCAATCTTTTATTAATCAATACTTTCCTATGTAGCCTTATCACGTGTGTTTCCTGTAAACAAATCAAGTCCAATTGTTCCTTTTTCAATAGATGAAAGACTTTTTTCCTTTTCTCCGGGGAGTTAAAACCATGAATATTCCAACTTAATAATTGCAGAGACATTGTGTATTTATTTTGCTTTTCCTCCAACTGCACCCAATAATTGTTCTTGCTCTGTCGGTGGTATCACTTTCTCTAGCTTGTCCAATCCCAAAGGTGGTGGTACTGTCTTGTATTCCTGGTTTTAATGCTCTTGGCTCTTCTTCAGCTTCTTTTTGCAGGTCTTCTCCGTGCTCTCTCAAAAAAATTTCTTTATCTTTCACTGATCTTATTTTAAACTTTCTCCCTTTAAAGGTAAAAGATAGGCCTTGGGGGAATTCCCACCTGAAAACAGTTCTATTTCCTCTCAACAGGGCCACGAGATCTCCGTAATTAGACCCAAGATCCAAAAGTTATTTCGGGATGTCCTTGAATATCTCCACTCTTGATTCATGTATTTCCAAAGTCTTCTGGAAGTGCAGACTCAATATTTTGTCTCTCTCCTCTTTTGTTCGGAGGGTAATCAAACAGTCTCTCACCCTGTTCTTTCTCCCCCCCTCTTCCAAGTCTAAAAGCGCTTACTATCTTGAAATCTTGCTTATCTGAGTCTAAGTTCCAAAAGTCTGCAAATTCCTGCGTAAGGAAATCACTCAAACTATCTTTCTCAAGTTCAGGTACAGCCCTGATCCTTAAATTTGTCTGTTTTTCTTTCAATTCAATCATAGACAGCAACGACCTATGATCCTCGAGTTGCCGACATATCGGTG